GACACATAGACGCGTTGAGTAAGGATAGCTGTATACTGAAAATCCACAGTAGCTATAGTGAGGGGACAATTCGAGGATGCAGTACACATAGAACGGACCCCCAACCAGTACCGGAACCCCCACTGAAAAATAGAGGCCATGCGCCCCCCCCCCCCTCTACCTCCCCCTGAGAATGAGGAGGGTACAGTCCAAAGTAAGCACAAGCTTACGTAAGGTTTATGCCGAGAATTGTATGGGAGGCGAAGTTGGCAAACAAGAAGAGGGGTAGGCAACCCACGGAATGGGTCAAGGTTGTAGAGGACGTATGGAAGGGGCTCGACATCGACGAAGATGAAACGCTGGAAACGGAGGGTCTAAAGGAGTTCAAGGAGAAGATATCTGTTGCTTGTGCCGAGAGAGAAGAACAGCATCTAAAGAAAGGAACCAAGGATAAGGAGGGTTTAGAAGTGTACGGAATGTTGAAGGAAGGAATAGGGTTCAAGGATTACCTACATGGACCAATGGATGCAGGAACAAAGCTTAAGGTCAAATTCAGGACCGGGGACATGGGCCTTCGAGAACGTAGACGAAGAGATAGGACGGTAGACGAGGGAGACGACGAGTTCAAATGTGATTGTNGAAGATATCTGTTGCTTGTGCCGAGAGAGAAGAACAGCATCTAAAGAAAGGAACCAAGGATAAGGAGGGTCTAGAAGTGTACGGAATGTTGAAGGAAGGAATAGGGTTCAAGGACTACCTACATGGACCAATGGATGCAGGAACAAAGCTTAAGGTCAAATTCAGGACCGNGGACGGTAGCTGTACTGGGGCATAGGAGGTGGGTTGAAAAGGCGGGAAGAGATATCGTTAGGATAGACAGACTAGGGAAGACATTCTGGAGCCACCTTTGGCAAAGTAGAAAGGGACGATTGGCCATCGGTGATCGGCCCTGTGGGAACAATGCTCCGTCCTCTCGAGGACGCGTGGTCAATGGTCTAACCGCTAAGGCATGCAAAACATAAGAGTATGCCCCCCCCCGCGCCCCCGGTGTTTGCCATCGGGGTTGGGTTTTCGTCGCTTTGCAACGACGTTATGAAACAAGCCCCTCCCCTCGGTGTGTGCCATCGGGGTTGGGTTTTCGTCGATTGGCACGACGTTGTAAAACAAGCCCATTCACTCCGTGAACTCGGCAACCAGGATATCGTTTTTATACCTGTTATTTTTTTTTTTTGCGGTAACCGTAAGGGTGGTCGAGTAGATCATGTTGTGCGGGGTGGAGAAGCCTCACACCGCGCAAGGGGGATGATCGCACCACGTTGTGTTAAAATGGTCAAGCACCCTCGAGGCAGTTACACAGTGCTTACAACTGTCTCTGGAAGTGAAAGCACCAGAAAATAAATTAATTCATACGCAGCTGTCATCCGTACGCAAGGAAGTAAGCACAAGATGCCGAACACCCTTAGCAGGATGCAGCGCACCCTTCATGCGACTCGCCGAATATCTCACGGCGCTTCGCGCTTGGTGATGTGAGAGCCTGGTCCGGTGAGAACCCGGCGTGCTCCGTCCCGGCTTTGTAGGGATGCGAGGTCAATGGTCTAACGACTACGGCATGCACGACTATGAGTCCCCCCCCCCCCCCGCCCCCCTTCACAACTCTGGCCGTTTCAGACGCGAGGTACAGCAGCCGGCCTTGTGGCTTTTTCGTAGGGAGGAGAGGTTGTGTGGGAGGTCACTGTCGTTCGTAACCTCGGCGTTTCCGGCTGTGTTTGTTGTTGTCGGGGTGGTTGTCTCTCTCGTTCGCAGCTACCGGAACATGTGCGAAGGGCTGCGATGCAGGCTTCGTCGGACGATGAAGACGACAGCGATGGAGATGGACCGGGCGGGGGAAAGTTTGGTGCAGGAGGCTGGGGCAAGAACAGGTATTCAGAACGCGCCACCACCTAGTCTAAGAACCTCTATTATAGTTTCGGCCGAGGCTGGGGTTCTTACTGTATTCCTAGGGTCATGCTACAAATGGTCGCTGTGCAGGGTTTAGTGTAGTTTGGTGTAGGGGTTCTTCACAGAGCTCACAAATGTTTCTCAATAGTATTGAATTTTGTTTTTTTTTAGGCTCAATTTCTGAGCTCCTGGGTTCTCAAGTGCGGGCGCGGTCCGGTCACGGACTCGACCGAATGTAGGTGCTAGTGTGGTCGTTCGTTCCGCCCCAGAGTGAGTAGGTACATGGTCGGCTGTTTTTGATTCGACGACGTTGTGCTCTTTGTGGCTACTCCGTTCAACGACGGCAGCGTGTATCGGAAGGACGTGGTGACGGCGGCGTCGGGGGTCGTGGGAAGAACCTTGCTTGTTTTACGCTCGCTAGTATCATTTTCCGTTTTTGCGCACATATGTTTCTTGTTTTCCGTATCCAGGACTGACGCTTTTCTTGGCGAGAGAAGCCGTCTGATTGAGTAAATTTCCCATTGTATTGAGGGCATACCATGCTGCGGAGAAGCAACGTCATGGTGCGTGGCCGCAGGGTCTCTTTGAGCGCATCTCTGTCCGTAGTCCTTATCCCCCTTTGTTTCCCCCCCGACCGTCGCCGCCCGACCACCGGCGGAATAACCCCGTCCACCAGGTCCTCGTACTACAACGCGGACACCGCCGACCTGGAAATCGGTCAGGAGTTCGAAGACGCCGAGGCGGAGGAAGAGGCCGCACTAGAGCTCCAGAGAGCGAGCTACAAGCGTCTCGACCCTGCAGACTACGGCGAGGAGGAGGAGGAGGAAGAGGAAGGGGATGAGGCTGCCGAAACCGCCAAGCAGGAACGGGAGGGAAAGGGGAAGGGGAAGGGAAAGGGAAAGACGACTGCAAAGAGACGCGAGCGCGACGGAACGAGCTCCGCTGCTGGAGCTCAGGGAGAGGCGCTGCGTGCGATGAAGAGCGACCTCGAGCAGATCGCCCTGGGTGCCGGGGGAGAGGTGTGTCTTTTGCCGGTTGCAGGTTTGCGCTTCGTTTTCGTCTGGTGGTTTTGGGTTGTTGGCAGGTTGTTCTCGCGCGAGAGATTGTCAAGTGATTTTGTACTACCGTACCCTCCGAATCGTCTTGGTTCCTCCCCCAGCCCACACTGCCTGACTTTCAATCCCTCATGGCATCTCCCTCCGGTGCCGGAAACACTACGGCGTGCATCGTCATGAGCACGCCCCCTCTACAGCGGCATACTCCTCGTCCCCCGCGACCCGTATCATCCCCATTGCCTGCAACTGAGAATCGTCTTCAACCGTTGCGGGACAAAATCAGGTGGAAACCTCGGTGGTGAAAAGGGACACCTCGAAGCTGAGCAGGCGCGATAAGCTGGAGCTCGTGCTCTCCGAGGCGCCGGAGCTTCCGGCACTCCTGGGGGAAGTCCGGGCTCAGCTGGGGACCCTGACCGAGTCGGTGCAGCCGCTGGTGTCGAACGTGACGGCCGAGATCGGCGCGAGCAAGGACGGGCTGGTGTACCTGCGCACCCGGCAGCAGCTGCTGCTGGCGTACTGTATGAACGTCTGCTTCTACATGGTCCTCAAGGTGCCTGCTTTCCCTTGATGGGATAGGATGGAATCGAGTAATGACAGGCTCGTGACGTGCCCCCGGATTTGACTCTGGAGCTGACCATGTTGATGCAGTGTATGTGCGCGAACGGCCGTTGTGTTTTGCGTATGTGTGCGTGTGCTTTTTGAATGTGCATCGACCGCATGGTGTGTGTGTCCTTTGTATTGGCATCGACCGCGCTAACCGGCTGGCGAATGCAAACACGTCGTCGGTGTGTGTGGTGTGTTTTCACTGTTCGGTGTTTGGTACTTGACCGAGTCGGTTGACGTGAGGGGTGGCATTCTTCGTCTCTTTGTCGGCGTTCCTCACTGCGGATTGATTTGTGAGCGGTGCTTGCCCACGCGGGTTCAGTTGCAATCCGAAGGGCCGACACGGACGTCTTGCGCTCGAGTTTTACACCTGGCAATGCCATGGCTTTACAGCAGCGGTTCACAAGCATCACCTGGCAAAGACTGATGACGAGAATCGATCCCCAACCAGCAACACACGGCACTCGTTCAAGCAGCACCTGGGGTACAAGCTTCTCTGCGCTGGATTCGCCACTTGGCGTGTGTGCACCAGGATAGCGTCTCTCGGAACCCCCCAACTCACTTCATGGCTCTTATCTAGCACCGACTACTACTATCGTCGCTCCCCGCCTTGCACAGTGGACTGGGTAGCTTGCTCTTGGGACATCATCATGCTCTAGTCTGCTGAATGCAATTTTTTTTGTTGTTTCCCGCCTCGTCTCGGTTGGCAGGCAAAGGGTGAGCCCGCCAAGGGCCATCCCGTGGTCAGGCGTCTCCTCTCGCTGCGCGGCCTCCTGGAGGACATGTCGTCCCTCGACGACAAGATGTCCTCTCAGGTGGACCTCCTCCTGCGCGCTCTCCGCTCCGGGGTAGACCTTGCCGGCGGCAGCGACAACGATGAGGAGGAGGAGGAGGAGGAAAGCCAATCCGACGGTGGGAAGGGGGTCTCGGCAGCGAACGGGAGAGGGAAGACGCGCGTCGCCGCGAATGGCGGCAGTGGGGGAAGTAGTGCTGAGGAGGAAGGGGAAGGTGTGGACGAAGAGGGCCTCGAGGAAGAAGAGGCGAGGTTCATGGGCGGCGCGGGTGGCGGCAGCTCTGACGAGGATGAAGAGGGCGGCACCGGCGAGCCGCCGGGGTCATCGAAAGGCTCCAAGAAAAAGCGCAGGCGGGCGGCTAGAGAGAATGCAGTGGAGGAGGCCAGGGCGAAGCTGGCCGCGGGCGCCGACGGAACCAGCGACGCGCTGCTCGGCGACTTCGGAGACGAAGACATGGACGAGAGGTCGGCCATGAGGGGTAGCGGCGGCGGAAATATGCTGCAGGGGATGGTGAACCGAATATCTCAGAGAGCCCAAGCCGCCACCGCGAGAAAGGGGCGCGGCTTGCAGGGTGATCTGGACGTGCCGGTTCGGGAGAGGGACCAGACGATCCGCGTCCGGCGCCCTGCCCCCGGCGAGGATAGCAACGTCGAAGAAGGGGGCGGCGCGGATAGTGAGGACGACGACTTCTTGGGAGGCGGTGGCGGTGGCTTTATGGACGGGTTGCCGCCGGGGCTCCTAGAGGGTCTCAGCCGTAGCGGCGGCGACGGACGCAAGACGAAGGGGCGCGACAGCGGGGGCAAGGGGGCGGCGGAAGGCGAGGAGGACGGGTTCTACGCCTCGGTGGCTGAGGAGAAGGAGCGCAAGAAGCGAGCCAAGAAGGACAAGTACGAGCCGCAGGCGCGCATCGCGGGTGCCCTCGAGGCCGAGCTCGAGGCGGAGCGGGCCGCGAGGGGAGAGACCAAGCGCGGCGCCAGCTACACCATCATCAAGAACCGGGGCCTGACGCCGCACAAAAACAAACTCAACCGAAACCCCCGATCGAAGAAGAGGGAAGCGTTCCGCAAAGCCACTATCCGCCGCAAGGGACAGGTGAGAGGAAGGAGAGGTGTCAAGGTCTTCGGTCGAAGTTGCCTTGCCTGTTGTGTTTGGTTGAGGGAGGCCAGTCCAATTTTCCCTAATTTCAGCCCCCGAGAGAGTATTTTGAAGGGGTTTGCTCTCGTGGACTCTCGCGGAGTGGGGCGCAAGCATGCGTACCTCGGGAGAACAGCTAAAGTTGTAGCTCTTCATCCGGCGTTACACATTGCAGTTTGACGCTCACTTGCCGTTTTCGTCCCTGTCCCCGCTGTATCCCCTTTGTTTTCATCGCGCATGATGGCAGGTTCGGGACATTCGCACCGGCGAGGCCGATGCCTACGGGGGCGAATCCACCGGCATCAAGTCCAACGTCACGCGCAGTCGAAAGCTCAAGGGTTAGACAGCTGTGTAGAAGTACAAGTACTCCGGGTTGCATACATGCTTTGGATTTGGTTCGACCGCGTCTAGGAGCGGGGCGGGGAAGCGGCATGGTATACTCTTGTTTTTTTCTCCTACAACGACGAGGAGAGTACCGTTTGGTGCAAGAGGGCCTCATTCGCGAGGTTG